GTATGACTTGGAGGTGACCACCTTTCAGATGGCTGTGCTGTTTGCCTGGAACCAGAGGCCCAGGGAGAGGATCAGCTTTGAAAACCTCAAACTAGCCACTGAGCTGCCAGACGCAGAGCTGCGGCGCACTCTATGGGTAAAGAAAGATGCTGGGAGGGTAGATAAAGAAATATGTCTGTCAGAAGTAATTACCAAGTTCACATGTCTGAACCACAGATTTTGTTCTCTGAAATTCTGTTTGTGTTAAGTTCCACAGTTGAGGTTGTTTGTTCATCTGGTTCTTCTACCTTTCTTCTGAATTATCATGCTATTCTCTGTCCTAATAGTCTCTGGTAGCATTTCCCAAACTCAAGCGGCAGGTGTTGTTGTATGACCCAGTTGTGTCTTCACCAAAAGACTTTGCAGAAGGAACACTCTTCTACGTCAACCAGGAGTTTTCTCTAATGTAAGGAACATCACACTGAAGTTATAAAGAGTATTTGAGTGCACTGCAAACTTGATGTCCTTATTGAAGCAGCTGCCCTGTCATATTTTCGGTTCAGAACCCCTTTTAGCAAATTTGAGAAATGCAAGCGGTGATTTGCAACGTGATTGGGCTCATTACGGCTGTGTGATACCTTTGAGCTGTTTGTATGTTGCCAACCCATGTCACATGGCTTTGTTGTTTATTAAGTTTGTGTCTAGTAGAAATGCACATATCATAAGAGGCGTCAAAACAAAGCATGATTTTTAGCTGTTATTTGATGTTTTTTTAATATGCTTGTTAAACAGCACCTATTCTCTTAGGTACACTTGTATACAGTATTTCAAGGTACTTGGCAGCTGATTCTGCCAATATCACATATATTCTAAATACAGAAGAAGCACTTTCTAAGTCATATTTCCTGAACCTTTTAATTTGACATTGGGTGTTGCTGTTTGCTTTTATTTAACTTTGCAGCAAAAACTCAAAGGTTCAGAAAAGAGGAAAGGTTAACCTGATTGGTCGCCTGCAGCTCACCACGGAGCGGATGAGAGAGGAGGAGAACGAGGGTATTGTTCAGCTCAGGATACTAAGAACACAGGTACGGCGATGAGCTTGCAGCATGTAGGTGAATATGTTGCTGGTCTCGCTTCTGTTACTGTACATAACACCACCTACTGTGGATAAATGTTATCTTCCATTTTCCATGGATGTCTGTGATTTTGTATGTATAAACTCACAGGCTACATCTGTCTTATATTGCACTTTCTAATCCTTTTTTTTTTCTTTTGTTTATACCTTTCTTCATGTTTCCCATGTCCAGGAGGCCATAATCCAGATCATGAAGATGAGGAAGCGCATCAACAATGCCCAGCTGCAGACAGAGCTGGTAGAGATCCTAAAGAACATGTTTTTACCACAAAAGAAGATGATCAAGGAGCAGATCGAGTGGCTGATAGATCACAAGTACATAAAGCGGGATGAGACTGATATAAACACATTCATCTACATGGCATAGCACAGCAGAACACATGGATGACTTCTGTTGACTTCATTGGTTTCAGTGGATCAGGCCTGATGGACACTAGAGTACTTCCAGGCTCCCCATCCTCTATTTAACAAAGAAAATCCAAACTTGTGCAGGGAGGCATGAATTCAAGACTGAGACCTATTTATAAAAGTGAAGCTTCCTGCCTTAAACTTGTACAAAAAAACAACAACAAAGAAAGCAAAAGATGCAGTTGGAGTCTGCACCAAGTGGTCATAACAGTTTTTAGTTGGAGGGAGTTTTATTTGCTGTCCAGATGAGACTTGTAATTGTTAATGGTCCATTTTTTTATGCCATGGTATGTCCTCTGGGCAGCTACCACAACACTCCAGCTCAGTGCTTGTGCAAGTCTAAAGGCATCCTGACAGGGAAAGCTGAGGAACTCTGGACCTCTGAATGTCTGTAGTCCAGTTTTAAACATCAATCCCAGATCACCTGAACCTTGAACAAAGGGTGGCCCTCTTCACTCGAAGACGAAGCTGCTTTAACCTTGATAGCCGGTGATCGTGTCATTACTGTCTGCAGTCACCGTTAAAGTGACATTCCAGTGTATAAAAAAACCAGACAAGCACTTCACAGTTTGCAGGGCTGAACCAGACAGCAAAGTAAGAGCAAGCAAAGCCTTTGTCCCTGGGTACAAAAGAGAATGTGCTATAATTCAGAGTCCAGTTCTCTGTACCAAATGCCTCGAAGGACACAGGTGGTGTTGGAGTTAAAACAGGGGCCCAGCTCATATTGTTGGAATCCCTCTTTTCTGCAGGAAGCCTGGAAGAAGAGGCTGAGGTCAGTATTACATATGGTAAACACTACAATTCACAGCTATAGGAGAGTGTACCATGAGATGTGAATAACGAAATGAATAAATAAACAGCACCTTATTATAAAATGGCACACGGTCTTGTCATTCATCCCAGCTCAGATTAAAAATTACCAATCTGTATTGGTCTGCAAATATAGTTTGAACTGTAAGGAACTGTTTTAAAATTTTAACTTCAGTGTTTTGGGAAATTTATTTATTCACTTTTTTACTTAGAGTTACAGTAGATGAGAAGATTGATGCTGTTCTTTTATCTGTACAGTAATAGACCTTTTTCACAGAAGACATTTTGTCATAGTAGGACAAGCACAGGTGTAATTGATAACACGATGGCTGCATTCCACAGTGACAATTCATAATATCTGCTGTGAAAAAGGTCTGTTATGAAGCTACAGTCAGTCACTAGTTGACGCAGCTTAGACTGGAAGTGGGGGGATGGCTAGCCTGAATATGGAAAAATTATATTAAATCCCCAACAATTTGAAAAAACAAAGAACATTAAACTCATCTTGATATAATAAAATATATAACTACAGCTTTTATAGAATGTTTAATAATAGTTTAGTGTATTTTTAGTCATTAGAATCTACACAAATGTATGGCAATCTATCCAGTAGATGCTGAAATATTTTACTAGGTTAGTAACAACATTGCCCCACTAGTGCCACTAGATAAAGTCAGGGATCGCCGTTGTTGCTGACATATGTCAATCTGGACCAATACGGTTGACTGACCACCATTGTTTGACCCATGAAGCTTTCAAGGAGTCTTGCTTCTTGGAAAATAAATATTAGTTCATTCACCTTTGGGTGAACCATCTCTCCCTTCATGGAGGGAAGGCCGCTAATCAAACTGTGGTGGATGACCAGTAGATGGTGCCAGAGCAATGCTGCATCTACAAAGTATTGTACTGTGGAGCAAGTTTGTCATAAAGCATTACTTTTGCATAAATGTCCAACTATAACTGATTTTGCTATCTCCCAAGCTGACTGTCTCATTGTTTTAAGGCCCATTTAAGCTACTTTATCTTAGTTATGGTCACTGGTGATGTAAGTTTGCACATAAAAGAAAGTTGCCTTGGATGTTTTCGACTGCTAGTGTATGTTTGAGATTGATTCTTCCCAATTGATTTGACTAAGTGAAACTACAAGAAAAGGGTCAGCGCTGAGGTTATTAAAAAAACCATGACTGTATTGGCCTGCAATAACAACCCATTTAGTATTGTCCACCTTTAGTATGATGAATTGATTGCAGTTTGATTGATTGCATTTGTATTATAGTTCAATATTGTATTGATTGTTAATGGGAAGCACTTAGCCTGAAACAATTCAAATGCCAGATGTGGTTTGGATCCCACATACAGAATGGATACATTATCATACAGTACTGTAGAAACGTTTTAAGCGCTTTGAGTGGTTAGATCCGTATCCATCATGCAATACCATCAGCGAGGCATTCATTCTGCCGCAGAAAAAATATCCAAAACATACAGCCAGAGTCATAATTGTTATCAGAGATGGGAGAGAGGAGTCCTGAAGCAGATGGTCTGCCCCCACAGAGTCCAGATATGAACATCATAGAGTCAGACTGGGATTACCTCAATAGACAGAAGATACATCCTACATCCACAGAGGAACCATAGGTTCTCCAAGATGCATGAAACAAACCTACCTGCCAAGTAACTTAGAAAACTGTGTGCAAAGGTATTGAAGAGAATTGGTGCAAAAGTTAAAGTTAAAGGATGGTCACACCAAATATTTAAATGATTAGATTTTTTTAACCCTATAAAACAGACCATTTGTATCATACAGTATTTGATATGTGAGGTTTCTAAGCAAAATAATATAATAATATAAATAAATATA